TTGTAATTCTCGAGCTTAGCCCGACCTTGCAAACCTTTTTCTTGGATAATAAATGATACGAAAGCGTGTGCAATACGTTCACGATATTTATAACAATTGTTTCTTAACACAGAAGCGCAAGATTGAGCTTAAAATGTGAAACCAGTAATGAATGACATACACGAGGGTTATCAGACCCCCAGGAATCTCCTGATTTCGTAGGACGTCGCGTAAGTATTTTGCTTCGTCAAAACAAAAAACATGCGCGAAATTCAGTACTTTTTATTTTGTTATGACATAAAAAGTGGGCGGTACAGTGCTTCATGACGAATGTACATGAGTTTTTATCCTCGAATGATGAAACGACGAGATTTAGTAACAAGTGTTTTTATTTGGTCTACTTCTACCCGAAAATGCCATCAACGTTGAAGTGGTTTAAGAATTAATATAACATCATGAATATTTCAATTTATGTTCACCATTTTATCTTGTAGGACACGAGACTTTGTTAATGAAAATTTGTCGTTACTTTCAGATTACAAGGCACACGGGTACGTTTACAGGAGGTTCCGTTGACCTTGTAATGGACATTTGCATCACGTGGCATCAAACTTGACATTGCACTTACGTCCATGCTCTTCTGGAATTTACATCAGCTGGCATGCAACGGCGTGCAATCGCATAATCGCTCGTTGAGAACGTCAGCATATGCAAAGCCATACGGAAGCATCGAAACCGGCAGAAATCGCGAAAAATCGAAATCACATACCCGGAAATGTGATCTGGAAAGATGACTGAGGTTGTTTTAAAATAATGAATGGTTTAGATTGTTGCAACGGGTTATTGGAAAACAAGAACAAGGACCACCTATACACCGCTTTTACCTAACTTTATGAATTTAACGAATTCTAAATCTTTGGCTGCAATCTGTCACCTCGATTTGAAATCTTTCAATAGATATCTTCTCTCTAAATGTATTTGAAAGTGCTCATTCTTCTGTTACCACAGACTTACTCTTGACCTCTAAAGATCTCGTGGCGTTTTATTCTGTTACGTCTTTAATTAGAAACAGAGTGCATGTATATTAACCAAAAAAGAAGTCACGCAATCCCTCCTTAGATTAACTCAGTCGAGAATATTTTACCAGATACGTTGGGTTCACGTAAGGATAATTAACTGCAGTATCTAGAAAGAGAGGCTGAGAAAGAGTAGCTAAGAAGAGACACGGGTTAATGGTAGTTATCTACAGACGCTGGGGGTCTGATAACCTCCATGGTGTGTTTTCGCGGAAAGTTTTCGCGCTCGGATAAAGACGCGTGAAATGATATCGACGCAGAGTGTTTAAAATACATCGTTTTTTCCCGTCCGTTAAAAAAAAAAAGACTTGTAATGTAATACCAAGATTATAGAGCATTACACTTATGAATAATCTATGATTAAGTATACTATAAGAATAACCTGTCACTTCAGTCTTGTTTCTGATTAAACCGTACACATTAATATCAAGATAAGATCATTGGGAAACAAGTGAACGCATGAAATGTTTCATGTAGATTCTGGGAGCAATTCTACTGTGATGGTGGACCTTCTACAAATGGCATCAACAACCTCAGTAGTCCTGAAATTCTGAACATTCAGCACACATAGAAGGGAAACAATATTTCTCATTATTTGTACGTAATTACTGTGTCGCAAATAATAAGTTTCTATATTTCGGTATAGATAAAGAAATGAGTGAGTGATTTACGTTCAAAAGCCAGGATTCATCAATTATATGTAATTAAGATACAAACTAACTAGTGATGAAAGTAAAAAATCAACGGTATAAAACCCGTTGTTCTTCCAACCTTACATAATTCTTCTGAAAAAGTAATACGTTTCATTTACATAAAGTTAATATCAAACAGGGGTAACAAATATCAACGATTTGTATCGACAAAGTTGATGATTTGGAGTCACTGTATTAACAAGCAATTAAAATATTCAAATATCAATAATTTTGGATTGTTAGGATTACTGAAGTAAAAACTAGCTATTAAGTATAGGCTGTTACTAACAATTGCTTTTTACATTGTTATCAAAAACTTCTTATAAAACTAAGTCTCCCTAATTCAAAATAGTAATGCATCTTATATATGTGCATCACAGGATGAGGACTAATCTATTAGCTGCTGGATCAGTACTTTGACGCACTGTACTGCAGTTGGATATATCAGAGGATGCATCCCGATAGTCGTAAGGTATCATACAACCGACTTCAACTAAGGTAACGCATACCAACTCAACTCGGTAGTCTCAAAATGCACCAAAATCTAATCCGACAGTTATACAATAAGCTGTGTTTTATCCTTTTAATAGTAATATACACCATAGACTAAGTGCGATCACTTTCAGTGCGCGGTTACAAAGCGATAGCTAGTCATTGATAGATACGAAATCATCGAGCGCTCTCTGCTGTATACCCCGCGCCAGGAAGGAAATTGTTTATTACTTCCTTTTAAATTTGGTTTCGTTAACCAAGGGTAATTCATTGCCATCTGTCGGTCTATATTGAATTCTTCATTGTCAATCATACATCGGTAACGTTGATCTCTGTACAATGGCAGTTATGAATGTATTTCGTAAACAACTTTTCGCCATCTAGTGGCTGTGACTTGTAATACCTAGTGGCGGGAAACTTAAATAGCCGGAATGTTAAATTATATATTTGGAGGAAATTAAACAACTGTGAACAAATGAAACGAAAATAAAATTCAATAAAAGCTTATTGCATAGTGTGGGTAAACTTAAGGTGTACCTTACCTGCAGTTGCCCATATCTAATCGGGGAAGGGATGGATTATCATAAATTCTACGATAAGAAACATAGCGTTCTTGGTCATAATTTTGTTCTTACTTTGTCCTAAGACAAAGTCCTAACTCTGAGATAACCGCGTTAGGGTAAGATTTAGTGTGTCCTATGATTACTAAGGTAGAATTTTCATAATTACGTTTTAATACGTTGACTTTGGTGTTTTTTAACGTTCTATTCTTTCTGAACAACTATTTTATTATAAAACACTATTTATTACAAATTCATTGCCGCGGTTATGATGCACTATAATAAATTACAGCATTTAAGTAAAGAAAATATTCAGGACCGCCAGTGTGCGCCATGCGGATATCGATAATGTGATCAATAGATAGCAGTTCTTAGTGGATTATCTTATCAAGCGATCACGCTGATCTTTGATACATTTATTTAGGACTTTGTACTTTATGCGAAGATTTGCACTATGTGATAATTCGGTCATGCAATATGACCATCATGTGATGCAGTTAATGCTTGGCAGTCACAATACAAACACAGCTACATAAACCAATGGACATTTGCATTGAAATAAAAAAAAAAACTTAGCCTCAGTTAATCCATATCATGACTGATAACGGTCTATGTTTTGTGCACCACAATTGAAATAATTTTAAACTATTTAGAATAAAATCTCAATCAGAAGGTGATATATTTCTAATTAAACTAATAAAAGAACTAAAGTGTAGACAAAATATTTTGAAACATTTTAGTCAAACTAGACAGTAACTTTCTTCCGACCAAATTAAAAAATTAGGTTAAAATAATAAGAGATACGCGGTTAGCAGCTCCATACCGAAGACTTGTTGAAAAATAGAATATTTTTGGTCATAAATGTAAATACTCTCCCTCGGATTTCCTCGTACTAGGAAGGGATGGCGACAACATGCAGTTGACAAAGAAATGTATTATCAAGACGATTAATGCACGTGCCAGACAGTTTTACACTGGCAGACGTTTCTCAAGAAGAAAGACGATATACTGGATCCAATTTTGTCCGTGGCTCGTGTTCTAGCGCTCCGAGAACTGGACTCGGACTCGGGCCTCGACCATGCCACCCAATACGATCTTCCACAAGCAGCCACAAGTCACAACACAGGGAGGATTATATCATATGCATCTCCTATGTACCGTCTCGCCGCAATTACATGCCAAATGGAGCACGACTCATGGTGGAATTCGAGTTTGTCTCCATTTGACCATAGATTTGTCGTCGCGAAAAATATGCTGCTAATTTGTGATTTACCTTGCACATCTTTATCTCTCGGATAAATGTGAGAAGTTCAAATATTTTGACTCATTCTGTTGGTAATCGTAAATCTTTCACTTTCACAATTACAGCTACGTAGATCGCTTTATACAATGTTGTCGGAAAAAAATTCAGCAGCAATACACGTATAATGTTATAAGACTTTAGAGACTCCTGAAATCTATTACTTGTGTATGTACAGATGTTTTGCAATAATCGCAGTTATGGAAACATGTCAATGTTTTGATTGATCTGCCATGTTCCTTAGATTACGATTACGACAAAACCCAACATAAATTTCACTCCTTTAAGAGATATCCCAGATGAGGTGTCTATAAAATAATACATTTACATGAGTTCTTGCATTTGAGTGAAGTTAAGTTTAAAAATTTGCGACATCCATGATTACAGTCGCAGTTAGTGAGTATATCGAGGTCGTGAAACGGTAACACGGGGAATTGTTTGCGAGAATGTACTCGATCGATTTGAATCGAATAGATCGTTGGTTCTACCAATGACCTCTTATGTCGAAGGTAAGTTAGGACTTGGAAGTAAGAGTGGTATACGGCATGCAATGGATAAGCAAAGTTATTCCAGTTGAATGAAACACAACTTATGCATTGCATAGCACTTAATCTAGTTGCGTATTTTAAACTATTCTTACATAAAGACTCTTCACGTAAAGCACGTGGCGTTACTTTACGTATAATAAATAATAAAAGCACGGAAGAGTAACTTGCTTCAGTGGGGTAACATTATGTATTTATTACCTCGTAAGTGTCATAATATTCTGGAATCGTCACCTTATAGAGGTTTACTGAAGACACGTATTAGCACGACAACGACGACTGATAGCAATGTCAAACTCTACCCAGAAGCGAATTGACAGGACATTACGAGGACCTATCAAAGTCTGGACACTTACCGTTAACGCTGAAGGCGATCTCTTTCAGATTGACGTCCGTAAGGACGGTCTGTGCAACGAGAGGAGTCGAAGGCGCGAAGTCCGGGTCGTCGACGTCGAAGGACACGCTCTCCTCGAACTCCGTCATCGTTACGTCCATCTTCCTTTCACGGATGGCAAGGATTCGCATTAAACGTCTCGCAGTCGCTGGTGCTTGAAAAGCTCGATATCTAAACAGGAAGAAACTTCCTCAGTAATAATTGAAGCAAATAATACACCGCTAATTAATTTTTCTAACTCGTGTAAGAAATGTTGTGATAGTCATATAACCCGCTCCTAAGAAATTAATAACTTGACGTTCGGGAATTAAATGATGATTATTGCATTTGTGTAATATGAAATAAGTATCGAAGAGGGCAGAAAACAGTGCGACAGATGTTTGTATAGCAAGGTAAATTGAAAAATAAGCACTTAAAGTTCGAATTCAAATCTCGCTTTCAAAGTCGTTAGGACTACTTTTGCATAAAAGTGAGCACTTTTAAGATGTTTATGATTGTATTTGGATTTCGCATTTAATCTACTTTTACCTATGGTCGCGGTATCGAAGGATCGCGTCAAGTATCATTATTGACGTTCAAATATATTTGGCAGTACTTGGCTGTCCTGAATTTGAAAAGCGCGAACTTCGCATTATTCAAACTGGATATATTGTGTAAAAGCGAATAATGCAAGGAAGGAAATAGGACACACGCACAACTGAAAATGTTTACAAATAAACACGACTAACTAGTTCAAATCCTTTACGTTTCTTTGTTTTCAGTAGCATTATTATGCAAGTCTTCGAACGTAAGCGGACAAAGTATTGTTAACTTATCCAGGAAATAATTTCCGCTTGCCACCCTAATTCATAATTTAATCTTAACGTTTTATTATACAAAATCAATGAGTTTTTTTTAACGACAAAGATTTAAAGAGTGACTATTAATATCACGGAGTCAATTTGATTTAACTTAAGTGTCTTTACTCGATTGATCATGTATAGTTTGACTAATTTTTTCCTCAAAAACATATCTTGATATCATGTATTTTATTAGAACGTTTTATATTCGTATTAACGCCACTCATTAAGGGGGTACGTATAAAGTAGAAAGAAATTTATTGCGAATTATACCATGAGGATCCTCAGACGTGGTTACTGTGTACTTCTTGATTCTTGGTCGATATCTGTATTGAATAGGACACCTTGGTCGAGTTACGCGAACCTTTCACATTTATTCTATAAATAATTATAGACAGTATCGTTATCTATATAAGTTTCATTCGCATGGGTCATCAATACAATTATTTTATAGTAGAAGTAAAAAGACGTAAATTAAATGACACAGGTCATGCATTTGAAGATATTTAATAATAACGTTCAATAAAATGTGATAAATATCTTAAGTGCGCTGTGTTTCATCCTAAACCGGAAGGATTAAATTAAACGCGTGTCTCTTGCATTTCTGTTACAAATGTATAACTGAAAATAAAAGCGTACCTACCTGTGGGGCGCCGCGCGTGACGAAAATTTGGCAGCAGCGCTATCTTCTGGGAATCTCCGGACCTTAACCTCTAGAGACCTCGCGGGACGGTATGTATGTATATATGTATTTTGATGTATCGCGTCAAGTTTGGCCGTGTTGGTCGAGAGACACACCAAGCGCACGTGTTCACGCGTGCTTCGAACTCGAAACTCGACCTGTCCGAACTTCGGTCTGAGCGTTGTTTCGCACGTCGTGGCCTTTCGGTGGTCACCGACGCCAAGCAATTTGGACGAGTTGACTAACCTTGTCCGATCGGCTCACGATACGTATTCACCAAGATTTGAAAAATCCTATTTGTACGACTGGCGTTGGTTTCAAAACGATATAATTCCGTCAGGAACGACGCCCGATACACCGCCGTCAGTTGCCGCGACCAAACTCGACCAGACTTACGTTTGCTTCCATCAACGCTTCTGCTCCTACTCCCATGCGATCCCTTCCAAAGGAACGCACAGAACGAGCCTCTACCTAACCTAGATGGATCCCACGCTATCCTTGGTCCCGCAATGTATCGTTCGAACGGTTTTCTCTGGGCGCAGCTGGGCGTACGGACCCTCGTCATCGTTACGTCCGCTGAACGAGGCGCGGTCATCGAAAGAACCTATTAGACAATGCAACGACTTTTGAGTTTTAATTTTCCTACTGAATGGCGCGTCGATGCGCAATGGACTTTGCGCCGAGTACCCGGCATGGCTTTCGGAGGGGCGGGTGAATTACTTTCTTAACACGTTTGCATCCGGCTATTTTTCAATGCTAATCTTTTAAGAACGAGAATTCTCGTTTCCCGATGCGAATGTGTTAAGGCGGAATTATAAATAAGCACAAACGAAACATGTTAAATGAACATATTAATTTTTAACCCATTTAGCGCCGACCGAACTCGTTGGTACTTGTCGCAAGGTGATATATCATTCTTCGGCACTAAAAGGATTAAAGTGTCATGAAGAAATGCATATATCACGAACTACGTTAAACTGTTGTTTTATTTTTTTTTTCGGTGATTACTATTTCTATACGTTACTGTTCGTTTCTTTAACGGTGCAAAGAGAAGTCTAAACCATAATTATTTTCCCCGGTATATTTCGATTTTTGACAGTAATGACCTCTAGATGTACACGCGATATTATATAATTAAA